TGGATGGCTATGACTTTGGAGATGACTTGAGAACTCAAATTTTGATTCTCTTGAACCTTGGAATCACCGATTAAATTCCTGATCGATTTGAAAAACCCCCAAAATAAACTTCTACATTTGGAAATTACTAATATGGTCCTCCATTTGTTTTTGAATAATCATTTGAAGATTAGATTACCGGAAGTCCGAAAAGTCACTAAAGTATTAAAATAATGGATTATTCTCAAGTTTTGAAATAACTAATGTGCTTGGACCCAAAATGACTAAAATAGCCCTGAAAACCGAGATAAACTAATTACCTTTAAGACTGGGATTAAGTAAATTTTGTTGGATAGACTATGGGAACATTGATGAACCTAAATGATGTACTGCCCCTAAAGGTTATGGAGCACGATCCAAGTCGTCAGACATTAAGGGATACTATTACAACGTGGAAATGAAATAAATACCAACAGAAAACCTATTCGTCTCATCAAGAACTGGTCAATGATAATTCTGATATTGATCAAATTAGCTAGTGCAGTCAGTAATAAGAAGTGAATAATAATGAAGTATCACAGTCGTAATGATTGACAAATATCATAGTGTTGGGATCATTGGTTCAATTGGACTCAAAATCTTGATAATTTAATATATATAATCTTAAACCCCACAAATCATCACTCTACTCTTATTAAATTAAATTACTAAGAATTCTCCAAGATTCAAATGTCTAAAATGCCCTTGATTTGCTTGAATAATGGGAACACTCATGTTATGTCTAAATCTTCAATAATTATGATGTAAAAGATTCTGAATGCCTTCCTGATACTCAATTACCTATGAAAAATACATGAATATTCTTGATAAATCATTTCTCGAATGAATGATGAATCAATTAGCTATCAAACTCCCTTTAATGGGGATCTTGATTCTGAAATTCTATTAAATTACAAAAGTTTTATGGTTCCCTACCTGATAAATACCAAGTATCTATGAATAATATATGGATCCTTTAGTGTGTTCCTTATGTGACATGTATATGTTTTACCTGTTTTAAACATGATTTTCCGAAATCACTGATTTATTGGTTTATGAACTATGGTTACTTGAAATATGTTCTCTAGTTACCTATTTTCACTGTAAAATATGATCGTTCTTGATTTATGGATCATGAAATCTACTGGTTTATGAACTATGGTTACCTAAAATGTGTTATATGGTTTCCTATTTTCACTGGAAAATATGATCGTTTCTGCTTTATGGATCACGAAATCTACCGGTTATTACTTGAACTGTTTTATTGGGATGTTATATGGGTAGGCTGGAGTAGGGAGGTTCAGCTCTGATCAAGCTGGTAAATCCTTACAGACCTAAGGTGGCCTTTGGGTAGGCTCTGAGGCCCCAAGAAACTTTCTTGGGTAGGCTCTCAGGCCCCAAGACACTCCCTTGGGTTAATAATGGGACTATATATGGTGTACGTGTGGAGGGCAGTTATATAGTTTATTTCATTGTCACGCTTACGAGATTTTACTGGATCACGATCCATATATTAATGTTATTGTTAAATCTTATTTCTACTGGATACTTTATAGGTAGGATTTTGGAGTATGGAGGTTCAGCTCTGATCAACCTGGTAAATCCTTACGGACCTAAGGTGACCTTTGGGTAGGCCCATAGGCCCCAAGGCATTCCCTTAAGGTGTCTCCTCTGTTGTGTGCTTAGGGTAAGTCCTTATGGATGCAGTTCTTGGGAACTGCATAACAGTGTTCGATTGGAGGGTATTACTATGATTTTTAAAAATATGTTTTAAATTGTTACTGTTTTAAAAAGATATGTACATTTACACTGGTTTTGGTCGGAACACATTAAACATCTTATTCCTATCTCCTAAAAACTTGGTACTCTGAATGTTTCCTATGAACTGAAATCTTCATGGCTTTTACTCGATGAAATATCAGTGGAACCTCAACTCATTACGAAAATTTGTAGACGACTGAGTCAATAATGAAAACTTATGATGTTCATTTTATTTGCATGTCCTTTAGCATCACTTGATAGACCTTTATTACTGAGCTTCCCAAAGCTGACTCTTTTACTCAACATTTCAAGTTAAAAGAATCAAACCAGTGCAGCTATCGACATCAGTATAGGAGTTCCACCGGCGTTGCTTGCGGAGTACGATGCATGTGATTAAGGGCATGTATGTTGTATTTTATTTTTATATCTGAGTCTGTAATCTGTTTTATTTCTGAATATTGTTAAATTCTACTTTTGTATTTATAAATTATTTTATGATTTAGGCGTTTTAACAAAAAATTTAAATTTTCTGAATTTTTATTGTGGGTCGTTCCGGTATCACTAATGTGACACATCGGATCGGTATGAAGGTTTTAAATCATTAACGGATTTCTTAACTGCTCTAAGCGTATTATTTTATTAATACAATGAACCAAGTATTAGTTAAATTATTATCTTATTTAATATGATTTTTTAAATATTAGCAGAATCTAAAATGATATGTCGTGACATAATTATCAGAAGAATCCAAATCCAATTAGAGAGGAAAAATAATCCGGAAATAAACAAAAAAGGATAAGAACGACAAAAGGATAAGCACAAAAGTCAGCATCCTAAAATTTGGATGAAATATCAGAATATTTAGTTCTAATTTCTTTTATTTGAAAAGAATATTATCCTCGTCAAATAGGGGGGCCCATGGAAGCACAGCTAATTCTTTGTTCATGCTTTTTTTCGGTGACCGCGTTTGTTATTAGTTTACATACACCTGTATTTTAAAATGCGGGGTTTCTGGTGGCCTGAGCGTTTGATCAGACGTCCGAAATTCGAGCCGAAAAAGAAAATGGAAACATGGTGACCCTGCTTAACAATGATTAACTCTAATCATTCTCTCAGTCCATCCAAATCTGCCCATTTAAAATTAGATAGGCAAGCATGATAATGGGAAATTTCACGGAAAATGCACCCCACTAGCAACACTGTCATTTGAGAAAACGAGAGGTCAAAACACCCACTTAATACTCTGTTCAATCTACCTATTAGAACGTGTTAATTAATATTTTTTATGTTTAATGGTTTTACCTGACATTAAATGGTAATTAGGGATTGCATGTAAGGCATAAACACAATTGCTTCATGGTTCACAAGCAAGGGATCATAAAACCAAACCATTTGAATGAATAACTTAAAACTATGACCTTTCTCAGTGGAAACATATTCTCCATTTCATACTCTGAAAATATCTATAATAGCAGCTTCCTCGCCCATGTAGGGCGTTGGAAAAAAAATTTCTCATATAAGACTCTACCCAAATTATTTCTTGAACTGGGATGTTTGCTACAGTGACCTCATTGGCTTCAAGTGCTCCTTGCGACAAAGCCTCCTCTATTGTAGCAACACTTCTCTCTTCCCTCGCTGTTGCAGCTACATAGGTCATCAAGTGCTCATATGTCGTTGTGTGCTCTTGGAGACCTATAGTGGTCACTGTAGCAATTATCCTACTTAAATAAATAATTATTCGACTGCGTGAAGAATTTTTTTTCATTACACTATTCAAACACTTTTGCCCTATAATAGCTTCTCCAATAATATATAATGTATATTTTTATTAAAAATAACATTGCCAATATAGACGAAAGCAAGTCAAAGACTTACAGTTTACGGGTTTCTTAACTGGCTGAGGCCTTAAAACCGCGTCATTCGTTGAATAGCAAGTACTCTTCTTATTACCCTAACAAAGGGGGAAATGATAAAGTGAATGCTATTATGCAAGGTTAAGGCAAAAAATAAAATACTTATATAATATTCGATTAAGATAACGTAGGGGGTAGTAGTACGACACCAGTTTCATATATTTAAAGTCGGGTTTCTAGAGGAAAGAAAACAGAGGAGAGAACAAATGGGAGATGTTATTTTGTTTATTGATGATTCGTCATCGAATCCTTCTATTTCAATATGTAGAATTTGCCATGAAGAAGAGTTTGAAAGTCTTAAGAGCATGGAAGTTCCTTGTGCTTGTTCTGGCTCTGTTAAGGTAATTCGTTTCGATAATTATTTTCAGATTCTGATCATCAATTTTCCCTGTTCTGATGATTTGATTAATTAAATTTTATCAGTTTGCGCATAGAGATTGCGTACAGAGATGGTGCAACGAGAAGGGAAACACAACCTGTGAAATTTGTCTTCAGGTTTCAATTTTAATGATCGTAGCGAAATTTCATGCTTCTGTTCTTGGAATTGTTTCTTTGTTTCCTTCTTTAATTATTAATTCGATACCAAACTCTGTTTTTCCTTTTAGTTTTGTTCTGTTTCTTTTTTGTTTGGGGCATCCAAAACTTGCCCCGGTCGATCAAACTTTCTTTAAGTCCAAGTTTCCCCCTCGTCTTACATGTGATTCAAGCGGTTTGCACAACATTTCATTGAAATCTTCATTATTAAACAAATTATAGTATAATTTTAATTATTTCGGATCATGTCTGCATAACTTAATTTAAATACCATTTTCTAAGATTCCTGGAATTGTATGCTAAGGTTTATTTTTATAAATAAAAAATAATAATTGCTGTGATTTTTTTAATCCGAAACGTTCCCAGAGGTTTATTTCATCTTTATTCTAACATTGAACTAAGCAAATCAACAGTTATCAACAAAAGAATTAACTATATAATATTTTTTTTATCATGCAGGAATATGAACCAGGATATACAGTAACAATTCCTTCAAAGAAGTCTCAGCTGATTGAAGCAGCTGTAACCATCAGGTATGGCTTCAAGATTGTTTTCTGTTCATAATTTGTTGGTAATGGCGCATGACTTGCCAGCTGCTGTTGAAAATTATTCACTTTAACAATGAATGTCTTCACCTTTAATGTAAAAAGCTACACATGCTTTTCCTCTAATTATTGTTTTATTTTTATGGGGCTCAGAGATAGCCTACAAATTCCAAGAACAGAGAACGAAGATGAAAGATTAGTGGTTTTGGCTGAGGAAATGAATGTGGACGAATTATCTGAATGTGCTTCGGCCGCTGACAGAGGCGCCTCTTGCTGCCGATCTCTGGCCCTCGCCGTAAGTGCTTTCATTGCTCTGCTACATGAAAAAATAACAAGAGAAACATGCATTTGCTTTGGTATGTGGCAACCACGACTGTGGTTGAAGAAAAAGAGAGCGCATATATAATTTTTTAAACTTAGTATACAATTCAATTCAAAACAAAGAACATTAATATATAATTTAGTAGTCTCGACGGTTGGATCAGTGGGCCAGTGTTTTGAAAACCGGGCCGGTTCAACCGGGAACCGTTGTTTAGTCCGGTTCAACAGGGAACCACTGTCTAGTCTGGTTCAATCTACACCGGTTAAACCGCTACTAGTGAACCGGCCGGAACCGCTGAACCGTTCGAACCTAACCGGCTGAAAACCGAGAAAAACCGGGAAAAACCGTCAATTTTGTTTTTTTTTTAGAAAAAAAATTAAACCAAACAACGTCATTTGTTAAACGATCCAAGTCAAACTCGAGTATTGCTGAGCTCGACTCTAAATTGAAAACTTTAAAAGTAAGCTCAACTCGACTCAAACTCACGAGCTAAAAATTATCAAGTTCAACTCGAACTCGAAATATAATATTAAAACTTGAACTCGAAAAGGTTTGAACTAAAAAAAAATTAGAAGCTCGATTGAAGCCTAAAATTCGAGCTTAATTGAAGTGAAAGAATAGTTCACTCAATGCTCACCAAAAGGTTCCATGATTTTGAATGCCAAATTACCTCTATTATTTATAGAAGTTAGTTGGGATGCTCTTCTATATTTCTTAGCCATGTGTGATTGTTTTGTTATCATATTTTTACTCTTTAGACTTTTGGGATGCTCTTCTATGTTTCTTAGCCACGTGGGATTGTTTTTTTAAATTAAACCAAACAATATTATTTTGTTATGATTTTTTAGCCCCAAATTTATTTTTTAATTATAGTTATATAATTATATTTATTATTTAATATATTTTACCTTAAATATTATGTTGTAGCTAATTTGAATCATTTTTTTCACTTGATTTTATGGTTTTTAACTTATATATGTTATGATTTGCTTTGAATATGACTTGTGATATAAAAAATTAGTTTTTATTAAATAATTTTATTTAATTTTTTAAATAATTATGACATCGTCCGGTTCTTCCGACCGGTCGGACCGATTCGATCGGTTGAACCGGTAGCATGATCGGTTCGCTACCGGTCCGGTTCTGAAAACCATGAAGTGGGCCAATGAGGTTTAGAAGCTGAATTCGTAAGGGAAAACTATGAAAACCACAGATATCTACCCATTGAAACAGTTGACACTGGATTATTACCATTAATTGCTATTATGTTTTTCTTTTTGCAGTTCACTGTTGTGTTGCTCGTGAAACACATCTTTGCCGTACTTAATGGCGATACTGATCATTACCCGTTTGCACTTCTTACGGTATGTATCCGATTTCATTTTCTCCATTGTTGTACAAAGCATATTTTTTTTCTTTCTAGCCAATCCTAAGAAGACATTTGTTTTGGCATATTTTTACAGATATTGTTTTTCAGAGCTACTGGCATTATACTCCCCATGTACATATTGATTCGGACAATTACAATTATTCGGAACAGCATCAGGCGACAAAATCACGTAAGTTTCCCATATGATTGCCGTTTTCCAAATGTCAACAACCTCATTATTTACAGACTTCACTTAAATACGATACATTATCTTATGATATCGTCACGTACAGGTACGTGATGAAGATATTTCTAACTTTGACGAAGAAGATGATGTCGAGCAACGACCGTTTCGTAATGACTAAACTTGATCATATATGTTCTCCAATTACTAGTTACCACTTGTAGTCCGAGTCCAACTTACTCCAATTCTTTTACAATGAAAAACGAATATAAAAAGGGGAAAATAAACATATTACGTTGACTTTGTGTACAGATTGGTGGGCCGTAGTTTTTTTGTTTTTCATGAAAAAAAGAGGGCAGTGTACTATATAATAAGATATTCAAGAAATGCAGCCATAGACGTACAGCAGTTATTACTTTGAAGAGACCAAACTACCAATAAAATCTATAACTGAAAGGCAGGCTGAGTTCATCTTAGCCGTTCCAGCACATAGGGGGTAGGGTTTGGTCAGACGAACCCAACTACTCCTATTCGTATATACAGCCAAACATTTGAAGAGAAAGGCAGTAGTCAGCATCACATTAACATCACTGTATATAAAATGGGCAAAACGAAGGACTAACAATGGGAAAGCTATGAAATACACATCCAGCGGATTCTATATATGAAAAAAGGCATCCGATAATTGTCTGTTCTATAGGCTTATAGCTCGATATGTTCATTCCAAATATTGCATTCAAAGAAAGAGTGATTCAACACGAAACAAGTTTTAAAGCATTAATTCTAACCAACCTCAGTTTAATTGTTGTTAAAATTTAAATTAATCTATAAGTTTTAACATTTTGTTAAATTCTTTTTGAATATCTTCTATAAACTATAGATTCATTATTAAAAATCTTCAGAGTCTTATGTCTTTCGATCAATTATAACATCTTAACATGATTGTTAATAAATCTATTATAACTAAATCTATTATTATATAGTCATGTCTATACATAATGGTAATGTACAAATAATAACTCAACTTTGACATTAAAAGTGGTATATAATTTATTAGAGAAGAAAAAAAGGCCGACTACTAGACTTCCTCTTTACATTTCTCTGAACGATTATTCATTGTTTTCAACAAGACTAGTCTTTTCTTTTTCTCTATAAAACAATTGGTTGCGATATTCCACCCAAACTAAAAAGAGGAACCGTCGGCAATCATCGTTTTTTTCATCAACAATTCCAATTAAAATTTTAAAATATTATCAATTATGGTAAGTGCAAGTTAGATATAACAGTACTGAAATGCTATAAAGTCAGGCAAATCAAAGTTGCAGATATCTCAAAGCAAGAATCACATCCAGCTAAAAACAACCATGCCCAATGTTTCCAAATCTATTCCACACTAGATTCCATACTTGCACTTACCATAATTGATAATATTTCCAAAGCTAAAATCTATTCACGTATCTTAAATAACACAGCCACAGGAGAGGGGAGGCTGAAAGCTCGAAAAATTCCATACTTGTTATTTCCAAAGTACTAATTTATCTTAGGTTTTTTGGGCTTGGCCTTGGACTTCCCGGACACTTCATCTTCCTCTTTCTCTACTTCTTCCTCGTTGTCAGAAGAGCCTTCCAGCAATTCATCAGGAACATCAGTTGGAACGTTGTGTTCCGTAATAAATTCCTTCAATATGCCCATACTTTCTTCTTTCACATAAGACAGCTGCTCAGAGACGCCACCAACCGCTTTGGAATTCACTGTGTATAATTCAGAACCCAGCCTAAGCGTGACTTTTACCTTGGATTGACCATCCATCGTCACATTCTCTACATTTTTTTTAGGAAATCCAAAAAGAAAAATTAGAATCCAACCAAAACAGGCATTCATTTTTTTTCTAAAATCCTTATTTTTCTGTTTGATCCATAAATCGGTGCTTTGGTTCCTCCAGATGCGCCGTAATTACTATAACAGATACAAATATGAAGGATTCTTCTACACATAAATTTAAGGAGTGGAGTTCTACTTATAACATTATCCCCTATCAATTTGGGTAACCATGAATGCGTAAAGAAGAAACGGGAGAAGGAGAATTATTACCTGAGAGAATCAAAGGAACTTTGAAGCTCTTTGTTTCTTTTGCTTTGCCTTTCTTTCTCCGCTGTTCCAGGACGACATGTGTTTTAAGAGGTGGGCTCTTGATTTAGGGTTTTTTTTTAAAAAAAAAAATCGAAACGACGCCACCTTGACTTCTTTAGCGTGAAATTATGATAAATCGCCGGACAATCTTAGATATGTTTTGTATGCAGACTGGATTAAATCGCGTAAATTACAAATTTGAAAACTAAATTTTATACAATTTATATTTTTCTCATTATACTTTTAAAATATTTAATTTTTTCACTTAACTTTTAATCGCTCCTGTTTTAGTCACTCAATTATTAAATAGCTAAGGGTGTTATGACATGGCAATCTCTAGAAAAACGACGTCGTTATATGTCCTACAAAAAAACAAATATAGATCAAAACAACGCCGTTTTGGATCTTTACACAAAAATATTTTCCCCCTCTTTTTCTTCGTCACCAATTTCTCCCTCTCTCTCTCCTTAGCGTGAACAAATCTGGGTTTCGACCATCACTTTTTTGAGTTTGCATGTTGGTGGTGGCTCTGGCGGTGTCGAAGGTGGAGGAGGAAATAAGACATTGATGTTCTTTCGTCATGCTTTAATCTTCAGTTTTGGTTTGTACGTAGAAGTAACTGTTTGAATGAGATAACCCAAAACATATTTTGATTTTTTTATCAAGCCAAATGTTTGATTTTATGCTGCTTTGGTCTTTCACAACTTGAAAAATGTTGTTGAAAGTTTATATCTTTTTCAACTTTGTCAAAAAGCTCTATTTTTTTTTTGAAAATAGTGTGGGCTGAGTAATTTTCTTGTTTGTTTGTCGAGATAACTTAAGAAAATGTTGTTCTGATTGATCGTTGTTTCAACGAAAGGTAATTTTGGTCTTGTTCCTTTAGATTTCTTCCTTTTTCTTTTGGAAGCAAGTGATGTTAAGACCATGCAAAGGAAATGGGCAGTGAAGGATAATGGAGTTGTAGTGTGGTATGATTTTGGGCATTTTTTGACATCAAAGTAAGGGGATTTTCTTCATAAATTTGTCAAAAAGATCCACGGAAGAGTTTGAACTCCCCAAAAGCCAGCTACATGGAGGAAGAAGAAGAAGAAGAGATTTGGGGGAAATGGGTTGAAGAAGCTGAAGGGTTGGAGCCGTGAAAATGGAACTTCATTGAAATTTATTAAAAGTCAATAACATCGACGTTCGAGACGAAAAGAAATCGACGCCAGAGAAAGTTCCGATGGTCGGAGAAACTATCGGAGGGGATTGGTGTTGTGGTTGAGTTTTTAGGTATTTTAATTATTATTATTATTTTAAATTATATTTAGAATTAAATATTATTAATATTTTTTCTTACCTGTCATAGCCTTTCGTGTCTTAACGATTAAAAAAAATTCTCTAAACCAAGAAGTTTAACGATAGAGTGAAAAAAAACTCAATTTATAAAGTTGAGTAGCAAATTGAAAATTTTAAAAACATGTTAAGTAAATTAAGAATTATATTAAATTCAGTTATTAAATTTATAATTTAGATATATTTGTGTTGTTCAAATGAAAAAAATAATACTTTTTCAACTATTAATTACACAGTATTCAATTACAAAATTAATTTTTTAATTTTATATTAATTTATAATCGTTAAATGAACGTACATTAATGATTAAGATTAAGATTAAAATTTTAAAATAATAAAATGTTTACAAAAGAAAGTTAGATACTCTTAATTATCAATTTACTCTCATAAAGTTATTCTAAGTTAATATTATTATTTTTATCATTGTGTAAAATTAACCCTACCCCTTACTCTATAAAAATTGAAAAATGGTCAATATTATGACACTTTTGATGGTATGGCTACTGAGTTAGTGAGTTTTTTCACTAATCTGATTGGTGTTGAGGACCCTTTAGTCTGGAGCAGTTCTGTTGAGGATTTAAAAGGCCTGCTAAACTATTCCCTACCAGAAGGAGCTGCTGATTTTTTAACTAGAGAGGTGAGTGATATGGAGATTAAGGAGGCCATGTTTAAGCAAGAAAAGGACAAGAGCTCAGGCCCTGATGGTTATACCTCTGGGTTTTTCAAGGCTGCCTAGAGCATTATAGGTACTAACTTTATTTATGCTGTAAGGTATTTTTTTCCAGTCCTCTTGTTTACTGTCTGCATTCAATGTCACTGCCATTGCTTTGGTGCCTAAATCCCTCAATACATGCTTAGCAAAAGAATTCAGACCTATATCTTGTTGTTCAGTTGTTTATAAAACTATCACAAGAATTCTTGTCAATAGACTAAGCCCTTTCTTTCCTAGCATGATATCCCTTAGTCGGTCAGCTTTTGTCAAGGGTAGAAACATTGTTGATAACACCTTGCTAGCTCAGGAAATTGTTAAAGGCTACTCTAGGAAGAGCCTTTCACCTAGATGTGCAATCAAAATTGATTTAAAGAAGGCTTTTTGACTCTATTAGTTGGAAATTATTGTTGAATGTACTTACTGCTATGGGGCTCTCTGGAATTTTCTGTAATTGGATCAAGGCCTGCATTACTACTCCTATATTCTCTCTTTCTTTAAATGGTAGCTTGGTGGGGTACTTCAAAGGAGCTAGGGGGATTAGGCAAGGAGATCCTTTATCTCCTTACCTATTTGTCATTGCCATGAATGTGTTGTCATCTCTCTTAGATTCTGCTGCAAAAACATGGTATTTTTAAGTTCCACCCTAAGTGTAGAATAATATATCTCACACACATTTGCTTTGCAGATGATCTGCTTGTTTTTTGTCATGGCTCCTTAGATGTTGTGTTGGGAATGCAATGAACTTTAGACAAGTTTTATGAGTTGTCTGGCCTTAAACTGAATGCTCATAAGACAAAAATGTATGCTTGTGGTTTGAATATGCTTGACCTGGAGCAAATCCGATTGGCTAATATGTTTAGGTTGGGACAACTCCCTGTGAGGTATCTTGGGGTGCCTCTGGTGACCTGCAAACTCACAGGTAAAGACTGTGAAGCACTTTTGACAAAGATTAAGGACAAGCTCAGGCATTGGTCTAACAAGAACCTGAGTTATGGTGGTAGGCTCCAATTGGTTAAAACTATCATGTTCAACATTTTTAACTACTGGACTAGGCAGTTGGTTCTACCAAAGGGAATCATTAGGGACATTGAACGCCTTTGTATGTGTTTTTTCTGGAAGGGCAACGATTCCTCAGCAAAAGGAGCTCGTGTGGGATGGGATCAGATCTGCTCCTTGAAGTTTGAGGGTGGGTTGGGTCTTAGAAGCCTAGTGGTATGGAATAAAGCTTGTTGTTTGCTACTTGTAAAGAACATTTTGGCTAATGAAGGCTCTCTTTGGATTGCCTGGATTAAAGAGTATTGTCTCAAAATAGCTAGTTTTTGGGATATAGAGTGCAAAGCCCACTTCAGTTGGATTTTGAGCAAACTTCTGAGTATGCGTGAGGAGGCTAGACGCTTATTTTTTACTGATTTGGTTCCCTGCTCACATTCTCAAATTCTCTTTAATCTCGTGGATGGTCATTCTCGATAGCTTGCCTACTAAAGATAGGCTTGTCCATTTTGGTTTGGCTATTGATAATGTTTGTGGTTTGTGTGGCTTTGGCATTGAATCTCGTGACCATCTCTTTGTTGAATGTTCTTTTGCTAAGGAATTGTGGGATATTATTCTATCTTCTTGTGATGTTCGTTATGAGCTGAACAATTGGGATGATCTTTTTAATTGGTTGATTGCTAATTTGAAGGGCAAATCCCTCAGAGTTCGTATCCTGAAACTTGCTTGGACTGGTTGTTGTATTCTTGTCGACACTCGATATTTTCGTCCCGTTATAATTAAGTTATTATTATTATTATTATTATTATTTAAGATTAATAACATAATGTTTTTATTTACAGATCCGACCCAAATACCCCAAACCCAAATTACATTCCAACAAACCTAAGGATGAAAACTCAATACCAACTAGGGTTTCATCATGTAGCTTCAGCCGCCACTTCATCTCAGCCGTACGATCAAGTTAGAGATAGACGGTCTAGATCAACCCTCAATTAAGATTTCCCCCCTTGAATATTGTCATCACCTTGCAAGAGTCGTCCGATTTGGACCCATCCAACGGTCCAGATCGAGCCCAGGCCACTGAATCTGGCACCATCACAGTCTTCTCCACCAACTGACAACTGGATTCACAAGTCAAACATCAAGATCAAAACAAACCCGTGTTTTCAATCTATTTTTTACTTCACTCATGATGTTTCAGAAAAAACAAGAAAAATGAAAGTAAAAACCTATTGTAGAATCGGTTATATAACCTGAACGAAAAAATGTAAATGAGGGGGGACTCCCGGATTCGAAAAGCAATAACAATAGCAGTTATTTTCAAGGTATATTTTTAATTTTGAAAATATAGAAATATACTCTTTGCATGCAAAAATAATATATATATATGAGTCTAAAAGAGGGTCAGGGAGTAGCTTACTTGAGTCGGAGGGAGCCTTTACGGCGGTCGGAGTTCGAGGAAACCGAACAGTCGGGGTTAGATTTGTGGTTGTTTGGGTTTATTTAGGGAATTTTTAGGTTTAGTTTGGTGTCTAGGATAGTAGATCTAGGCTTTAGGGGTTTTTAGGTGAATTTGGAGCTCCGGCCACCGTGTGTGGTCGGAATGGCGGCCGGACGGCAAGTTAGGTTGGCCGATAAGGGATCAACCGAAGATTGAGAGAATTCTCATTTTTTTTAAACCAAATGAAAATGAAACAAAAAATGATAAAGGGTGGTATATATAGGCTAATTTAATGGTATAATTACAACTTAAATGCCTCTAATTTGAGCGTGTTTTACAAAATAGTCATTGATAGGGACCAGTTTCATTATTTTGCTAATATTCTCTATGTTTTATAATTTTTTATTTAATTATAGTTTAATCCGCCTACATTCATTGCGTATTTACACTTTAGTCATCGATTTTGCAGTCTTTATATTTTAGTTTCGAAATTGTTATTCTTACTTCATTAATATTGGTTGAGATAAATAATTGGTAAAATTGTATCTTTAATCCCTATATTTAGCATCAGATCCCTTTA